CACCGCATCGAGCCTGCCTGGACAAGCCGGGTTTGCGTTCTGCTGTTCGGTTCACGAACGGGTTACAGGGCAGAGTTGTGCTCGGATCAACCGGCGCTCATTCAGCTGTCCCGCCTTTATGGCTCTGGTTCTGCAGGGGGCTGGAGGCTCGGCACAGAGCAGGAAATTGTACTGGGTAAGAGACCCGACACAATCAATCGATGGACCGAGCTACGAGGGATAACAGCGCCATCTCCTCCGAGAGTCCGTACGGACGGGGGGAGCTTCGCCACCTCGGTGTTGGATCAGCGCATCCTTCCCAGTGCTGCCGCCGCTACTGAGGGCTCGTTTGTTCAGCGATTAACAAACCAGCCTTGGACAAAGCGAAGGTGCAGGAGGTCCGGTCCGGTCCGGTCCGGCCCCGGGGCAGTGCCGGGTCAGGGCTCTGGGGAGTCCGTCCTGAGAGCGGATTCCTGCACGGTCAGAAAGCTGCAGAGCCCCACAGGACTTACCTGTGCTGGATCCCTGCTTTGAAGCGACAGCTGACGGAGGAAATGACAGCTGCTCTCACAAACACCCAGCGCAGGTGGAGCGCGCAGAGCAGAGCGCTGTGAGCGATCCTCGAATCGCGGCTGGGGACAGAGCGTCCGTCCCTGCCTTGCCCAAGATACCCACATTTTATTGGAATCTCATCAGGGAATTCTGGTCCATTTGACACGTTAACCCTGTGTTCTGCAGTTTGCTGCCTCCCCATCTTTCAATTCATTTGTAAAGAAATACAAATACAAATACTTTCCCCCCTGGTTTAATACATCCTGCCTGCTCCTGAAAACCCCTCCACATAATCCAGCCGCGTTATTAACTATGAAAAACGTGCAGCAGGGAGTGTGCCACTGCCATCTCTCGTTGCCCCCAATTAGTCCTGGTCTAACCCTTTTAGCCTCGAGAGAAACCGGATTATAACTTGTCTGTCAGGGCTGAGGTGGATTTTACGCAACCAATGTCGTAATTATCGAAATGATTGCTCTATCAGTCAGCAGCTTGTTACAAGACCTTCACATCTTTTTGCTGATTCTGGGCTTTCTGAAGCAAAGAGGAATGGTTTCCTGGGTGTAAGGGCAACTCCTGCAGGACTCAGGATGTGTCAGAGCAGCCCAAGGTGCATCCGCTATCAGGAGAATGAACAGTCAATAGGAACTCATTAATAGCTGACTACATTTTTATCTCCTCTTGTTTTATTCTGCTACTTGGAGTGGTGGCCAGAAAAATGATCAAGACTTGGTTATTTCCTTGCTTCTTGACCCTTTCCTGAAGGAAATCTTCACTGGGCAACCACGGAGCAGAGCAAAATGAAGGTAACAGGAATTTTTAGTGTGAGGATCTCGGTGATGAGCAGACCTCAAGCTCTGGATTTAGGCTCCACCTTGTGGGGTGCAGTTGAACTCATTCACCAACAACACAAACAAACTCCCTGAGTTTACAGCCCTGGCAGGAGGAGTCACTGAGGCAGCTGCTGAGGGCAGAGCCCCGTTTTACCGGAGTTCTCTTCGGGTTTCATTGAGTCCATGGGCTGGAACTCACATTCGAGACCACCTAAGATCAGTTTGTGGGAGATGAATGCACTGATAAATCAGCTACCAGCTCATTTTGTGGCTTGCTAAGTATGGACAAATCTTAAATCTCCCCTCCTCACTGCTCGTGTTCATATCTAGATGCCTTGTGCAGGCTGAGCTAGAGCAGAGGCTGAGTCCCAGAATAAAGCAGGGATTTATCCAAAGCATCTCCTCCATGGATCCACCTTGGGCAGCACCAGAGCCCAGCCAGGGCTGCACCCAAGATGACCCAAAATGGCCCCAAAATGCACGAGCGCTCCCGGGCTCTGTCCCTGGGATCAGCTCTGCTCCATTTGCACCTTGCAGTTCATTGTCCCATCCCAGCTTCAGCCCAGGCAGTCCCACCCTGCTTGTTTTTCTCTCTGCAGCCCACGGGGTTTGTGCTCCTGGG